AGGATGCATCCTTATTGCTAGAGGCCAATTACCCTATAACACAGACCTGAACTGGGGTAAATGAGGCACAGATGCAAGAGAGACTGAATATTCATTTCAAAGTTAGAATTGACCAAATTGATATACAGGGTATAGGAAGAGGTGATAACAAGATAGTTTCCAATTCTATACTTTATTATGTAAATGCTGGTGCCAGTCATTATGATAGTAATCCAAGAGGAAGAACTACGCATTTCAGATTTATTATGTTTGTAGGTGTTGAGAATGGATGGGTAGGAGATCAGGAAAAGATATGTGGAAGGAGGAGACACTCCATTTTTGATTGAGTTTAAGGTATCTAACGGGGCTATATAAACCTAAGTGTTAATAAAAATCATAGACAATCATTGTATTATATACTGTTTTGTTAAGTGTCAACTACCTTGTACAACTGCTTGAAAATGATTTAAAAAAGAAAAAAATCATAGACAAAGATATTTCTCAGTTTGAGAATAAAATTAGACCCAGAGACAAAACCCTTGGGAATACCAATATTTGAGGAACAAAGGAGTAGAAAAGAGGCATGTAGACAATGGTCCCACAGAAGCCTGAAAAATATCAATTAGGTCTAGCAATACAGAAGGTAAAGGGTATTAGTCAAATTCTCCAGGTTTAAGAGTGTAGAGTGATTGTTTAGAAAAATCAAGAATCTGGAATATAAACACAATACTGCCCTCAATAGGTTGAAGGTTAAGAGAGGATAATATGGAGGGAGTTAGGAGGACATGAAGATGACATTTTTGTGGAACATACTTATACATGCTTACAGAATGAAACTTAGCTGCTTATAGGATGAGGAAAACTACCATTAGCAAATGGTAAGTTGAAGATGTTGAATGGTACAAGGTCTCCTAAGAAGTAGGAGATTCCAAAAGCCCTGGACAGGAAGATAGCTTCCTATGACACTGGAGAAAAGTAATGGTGCAGATGGATGGACACAACCTGCACAGGGAAGAAAATGGCAAGGATGTCCAAGTGCCATTTCTATTCCCATATCCTACTTCTCTTCTTGGCTTGCAATCTACCAGAGATCAATAAATCAGGTAATTATGCTTATTGGAATTGTGTTGAAATAAAAATGGACAGGGGAAGTGGTTCTGTGGCTCAAGTGGTAGAGCACTAGCCTTGAGCTGAAGAGCTCAGGGACAGTGCCCAGGCCCAGAGTTCAGGCCCCATGATTGACAAAAAAAAAAAAAAAAAAAAAAACAATAATAAAAATGGACAGGCTATAAGGCAATTTTAATTTTAAGAAATGTGTCAGGCTTGTTTTTTTTGTTTGTATGTTTGTTTTGTTTTATTGTCTGTTAAACTCTTGGGCAATAACTGGGAACAAGACGCAACTCTGGCACTTAATAGTTTTTGACATTGAGTTTGGCTGCCAATTCAATTAACTTTTAAAACTTAGTTTTATTAAGAATTGAGATAGCTGAAGTTGCCAGATGTGAGTTGTGAGTAGATGGGTGTTAAAAGTCCCCAGTTAGCTCATCCCTTCAATTTCCCAAATTACCACCCAGCCAATAAAGTATTTGGTGACACATACCATAAAGTATTATGCCTTAGATTTAATATCTCTTGGATTTTACAAAATTCATTAGTAGATTAATTTCTTATTCTGGCAACAGACACATAGCCCTCTTTCCCAAATTGGGTATTTGACCTAGTACTGAAATGACTTTCATAAATACTGCCAATAAGGCTTTCACATAAGACAAATATTCCCAGAGTAGATCAAAAAGGCAATTCCACTAATACAAAGATGTTTCTAGATGCTGTCCCTTACTTAAAATGCTCTCAATTAGTATGTGAAATATTAATTTATAATAGCTATTGATTTTATGAATCCATTCTTTAAAAATTCTTTAGATAATGGAAAGAAATGTTAGTAAAATAGTAATTTTAATGGGATTGTATCCTAAAGAAACAAAATGCTCATTGTGTAAGTCAGTTTGACCTGATCTACTTGTCTAATGTACACTTAATACTTACCAAAAGAAAGTATTTCTGGGGGAAGGAAACATGTAATTATGTTCTGGTTTTTAGTACTGGAATTGAACTCAGGAACTCACATATGATAGGCATGTTCTCTACCACTGAACTGCACCTTCAGTTCTGTGAAAGTCAAATAGCCACAGAAGTGATAAAAAAAATTTTAAAGATTAGAAAGTTGCATGACCACTGAAATTTCATTGAAAAGTTTCATGTAGATTAAAAATACTACTATAGCTGAGTGCTGGTGGCACACATCTATAATCCTAGCTACTCAGGAGGCCGAAATCTAAGGAACACAGTTCGAGGAAGGAAAGTCTGTGAGACTCTTATCTCCAATTAACCACTAAAACAGCCAGAAGTGGAGCTGTGGCTCAAGTGCTAGCCTTGAGCACAAAAGCTCAAACAGTGTCCAAGCCCTGAGTGCAAGTCCCAGGACTGGTACCAAAAGAACAAAATCAAATACTGTTAATTCTTGATTTTCAATTCAGAAATTTTCAAAGATAATTTTCAGCCAAAAAAAATTGGAAAACCGAGCTATACTTACACCTCTCAGAAATGATTACTAATGTGAAAATGAACAATGAAGTTCACTGAGAGTGGTTTGAGAAGGAATTAGGGTAGTGAGGAAGAGCAATGGAAGGGGTTAAGTCTGATTAAGGTGCTCTCTCTCAGATGTGTGTGTGTGTGTATGTGCGCACACGTGTGTGTATATGTGTGTGTAGGCATGACATGGAACTCTCTGAATAAGGTGACTCTAATTTAAAAATGAGGGAAAAGACAGAAGTAGAGCTGTGGCTCAAGTGGTAGAGCACTAGCCTTGAAAAAAGGTCAGGGAAAGAGCCCAGGCCCTGAGTTCAAGCCACAGGACTAGCACAAAACAAAAACAAAAACAAAAACAAAAAACGAGGAAAAAGAATAAGAATTCTCTTTGAGCCTGGGGGGTGACTTATGGCTGTAATCCTAATTCTACACAGGATCATGGTTTGAAGCCAGCCCAGGCAGGAAAGTCTATAAATAAACTCATCTCAAATGAAGCACCAATCAACCGGAAATGGAACCCTGAACTCAAGTGGTAGAGCACTAGACTTGAGCAAAAAAATCTCAAGGACAGAAACCAGGCCCTAAGTTCAAGCCCCAAGACTGGCCAAAAAAAAAAACAAAACCAAAACCAAAACACACCAGATTTCTTTCTTGAAGAGTTGGCTTTACAATCACATCCTTGGCAGTACTAGGTTTTGAACCCAGGGCCTAATGCTTGTTAGGCAGGCTCTTTACACTTGACCTACAACCCAAATCTCTACATATCATATTCTTTTTTGGGGGGGGTCCGGTCAGGGGGCCTGAACTCTGGGCCTGGGCACTGTCCCTCAGCTCTTCAGCTCAAGGCTAGCGCTCTACCACTTGAGCCACAGCGCCACTTCCGGCTTTTTTCTTTTTGCTTATGTGGTGCTTAGGAATCGAACCCAGGGCCTCATGCATGCAAGGCAAGCGCTCTACCACTGAGCCACCTTCCCAGCCCCAATATCATATTCTTAATGTGACATCTTTTCTATATCCCTTTTAGATCTATACTCAAATCATTTGAAGTATATCACATGGAACTGAAGAAATATTTGAAGTTACTCAGTATAACTTATGCAAGCCCCATGATCAACAAAAAAAAAATCACGAAGTACAAAACATGCAGTAAACTTGCATGGTGCAGACTATACTGAATGTAATATATGCTCTTGATATATAACAACTTTTTACCAGATTGCTTCTAAAAATATTCAAATGTGTTTATCTTCTGTAAAATGGAAGTTATCATTCAAGAAATAAGAATTAACAGGATTTTAAAGCCCCCAAAACCTAGAACTGAGACCTTAGAAGTTAAGCAACGTGACTAAAGCACATAGTAGCTAGTAGTCATACTGGGAGCTATGACAACCTGTACATTGTTTAACGTGATAACACACAGGAGGAAAATCACTGGCTAAAGTTGCTAAATTTTTTTATGGGTGACTGGGAAACTAGTTAGAAATTAGAAAGTTCAAGAATTTTGTTTTGCAGTACTGGTGTTTGAATAGGGCCTTTGCTTGGTAGATAAGGACTCTATTACTTGAGCCACACTTACAATAAAGCATTTTACAGTAATCCAAGAGATACATTGGACATGTTCTCCTTTGGTCAGATCAACAGCTTCATATGAATTACTATAGCATACACATGCTATGCATGAACATTTAATAGAAATTGAGAAAAGTGTATATAAAGATACTCTGAACTGGGGCTGGGAAGGTGGCTCAGTGGTAGAGCGCTTGCCTCTTGCATGCTCAAGGCCCTGGGTTCGATTCCTCAGCACCACATAAGCAAAAAGAAAAAAGCTGGAAGTGGCGCTGTGGCTCAAGTGGTAGAGCGCTAGCCTTGAGCTGAAGAGCTGAGGGACAGCCCCAGGCCCAGAGTTCAGGCCCCACGACCGGACCCAAAAAAAAAAAAAGATACTCTGAACTTTTTACTATGAAATAAATATTCTAAGCTGATGTGATTCCACTGAGCCATGCTTCCAGTTTCTCCCACTTGCTAGGTATCACTTACACACACACACACATTCTCTCACTCTCTCACACACACATACATTCTCTCTCTCTCTCTCTACACACACACACACACACACACACACACACACACACACACACACACACACACACACACACACACACACACACACACACACACACACACACACACACACACACACCTCTCACCCCAAACCTGCTAAATGAAATCCTGTAGAGATGGAAAAATATACCCTTCTCACGTGATTCTTACTCTGTAGCCAACCTAGTATCATTTGAGGCCTACATAATTCAGAAAACATTTTGGAAATAATTATGTTCTAAGCATTTCTAAAGTTTTTACTGTTGAAAGAAATTGCCATTATGTAGCACATAAAATCTTAAACTTAACCAATAGGAAAAAATGTAAGCAAATTTCCTTAAGAAATAAAAGAATCTTTATTGTTTGAGAAGCAATGTTGAGCAAACAAAACAGGCAAATATCTAAAAAGAGAGACCATACATCAACTAGTGGCTTAAACATTTGAGAAAAAAACACAGAAGGTATTTACATGGACCAGTTACTTCATACAAATGCTAAAACATAAAGAAGACCTGAAACCAAATAGAGTGTTACCATTAAGGTGTGAACTCAATAAAATTAAACAAAAAATTTACAAAAGGTACAAAGAGCATATGGTTATAGGAAATTATAGTGTAAATAGCAGTATATAAACTGGCCCATGTAAAATACAAAAATATTCACTCGTCATATTTTTCTATAAAACAGTGCTTAATAGTACTTTAATATGAATCAGATTTATAATCTAAATGTAGAAACTTTTAGAAACAACAACAGCCTTAAGCTAGTGCCAATCACTTACAGTTCTAATTTGTTTTGATTCATGAGAAATACCTAAGGCCAATGTTCATAAAAGCTTAATCAATTCTTATATGATTAATAATTTTACAGTAAAACACAGTTTTAATGAAAGTAATTTTTAAAATCCAGATTTAGATTTGGTTTCTAAGAAATGTTTTGTAACTGTTAATGCAGCTCAATGAAGCTCTAGGAGAGAATCAGTGAAGCATATAGTCTGGACTAATAAATTTTTAGGCTAAAGAGACAGCAAATTTCAGTGAAGAAAATATTACTTATTCCAATAAAACTCAAAAGACAGTTACAGACATACATACCCTAGCATGCAATCTACTATGGATGTGTGCATACCATGCATGTATGTGTGTACCAATGCTTTCATTCAATGCCAAACCCAGATAGTTCCTCATTTTCAGGTAAATGGGAGGCATGTAATCTGTCCTCCTCAAATAACCATAAGAATCTGCAATGTGTAGCAAGATGCTAATATTTTTAACATTTGCTCAGCTATATCTACATGTGTAAACATACATAGTATATGCATGTATGCATATGGTGTATAAATATATGCATGTACAAGATGTTTTGGTAGCTACAAGGAACACTTCCTGTGCTATCAAGCTGAAGCATTGCTTTTTCATATAAGCATTAGGGGTTGCATGCTCAGTAAATTGACAACTGATGCATTTCTCTGAGTACCAAATTGAATACAAAATGCATGAATTAATAATGCCTCTACCATAATGAACAATAACAGTATAAGTTTTGATTAGCACAGAACCATTTAAATGTGAAAGGCAAATTAGTAAATGCTGTAGCAATCAACACAAACTAGAAAAGAAAAACATTTTAATGGACTAAAGGGAAGACCAAGACTTTTGGATTAAGTGCAAATTATTTTCTGAGTGTAAGTGCACTTCTTTATCTAGGTTCTTGGATATACTAGCATTTCTTCTTCAAAAAAAAAGAAGAAGAAAAAAACATACCACCAAGGAAGACTGGAAAGTTAAAGAGAAAGCTGCATTAATTTTAGTACTATACATAGAGGCCAATATACAGGCACAAAGGAATAATGCTCTCCATTGGCACTGTCTAGCAATTATCTCAAAAGCACCTAAAATATAGATTGAAATGCCTAGCTGGAATAGTCTTGCAGCTAGCAATTTAAAAGATTGAAATACCCAATTTTTTTAAAAGCAGATTAAACAGTAAGTTAAACATTTACTCTAAACTTTAAAAAATATTTTCTATCTTTTGTTGTTACAGCCACATTAAAAACAAATGTATTCAAAACACATGAGAAAAGAATTCATTAGGAAAAACACACTACTACTTACTAGGCCCTGAACAAACATACTACCATCTCTTTCCTAGATCAAATATGCAGCGAGGCAAAGTATCTAAATTAGCCTGCAAACAAAATCACAAAAAAATGCAAAGAGAACAAGTACAAACCCATTGTAGAATATATTGACCCAACCCAGTGTCATGCAGGGAAAAACCCTTTAAAAAAATTATTTTGTTAGCTGGCTACTGGTGGATCACCCCTGCAATCCTACATACTCAGGAGACTGAGATCTAAGGCTTACAGTTCAAAGCCAGCTCAGGCAAAAACATTTCTAAGTCTTTCTTTCAATTAATCAGAAAAATGCAGACTGGAGGTGGTAGAGCTCCCAGGCATGAGTGAAAAAGCCATAGAACTCAAAGCCTAGTAACAGCACACACACAAAAATAATTTTTCCTGTGTATTTCTAGTCTGAACATATTGGTAAAGACAAAACACTGAATACTAATTCAAAACAGTAAAATAGAATTTATAATCTAGGTAATTTTGCACATGTCTTTTGTTATAGAAGTAACTGTGTTACAGTCCATGGTTGGGGACACCAAAATCAGAGGCCTCATTTGGAATTTACAGTTCTATTTTTTTGTTTCAGTTTGAAATCTCCCATACATTCTAAGTGCAAGACTGAAACTAAATATACCTTAAATTGAACATTATTTCATGTTTGTACTTGTACTTGCTTTATTTTTTTGTAACAGAGATCATGAATGGATTTAGTGTTACAGAGTCTGATATCCAGCATAGCTTTTTCTTCTGCCAATTAGGTAAGCAATCACTATAACGATAATCAAGCCTGAAAGACCAGCACCAACTATAATTGGTATTAGAATGGTGTCATCATCCAGCGAACACTCCTGGGCTGTAAGTGAGAAAAAGTGTGTAACAAATAGTGAGTATAATTAAAAAAAAGAATATCCAAAAGTAAGAGATGTTGATTTAAAAGTCAGAAATGTTCGTATATAAAATCTATTTCAACAGATATATTTTTTGGATAAAGCTATAGAAAACTATGGACTAGTCTAAAATTTTTAAACTGTATTTGTCCTTTCATTTATGTTGTTGTATATATAAAGATATATTCATAGATAAAGCTATAAATACACATGGTATTACATGATATATATACATATAAATAAATGTGTATACAATTGTGTTTGTTTATATTCCAAGTCTATTCCAAAATAAGAGTATTTATCAAAATGAAGAGTTATTTATCTAATTGATCCTGTTTCCCTAAAGCTAGATCAGCCTTTCATCAGTAGAGTAAATGTCTCTGGGGACAACAGAAGCATTATAGTATCGTGGAATTGGATAGTCCAGGCTGATTTTGAAATTTCTTTATAGGAAAGGTCAGTGAACTGTAGTTCATGGGCTGAGCCTGGCCAAAGAGTTTAAAATGGCATTTATTCAAATGATTGGAGTGGGAGAAGGGAGGATATATTGTAACATATAACATACAGAATTCCAATTTCAGAATCCATAAATAAAGTTTTATTAGAACTCAGCCACATTCATCTGTTTATGTATTACCTATAGATGTTTTTGTACAACAATAGCAGAATTAAAAAAAATTGACAGTGAACCTAAGTCCCTGTTTGGAGTTTTCAGGAAATGTTTGCAGATCCCTGATGCAGAATGTTATTTTAGTGGCTGTAAGAGTCAAGAAACAGGGATTTCTTCTTAATTTGAGAGTGTTTACTAAATTTCTTATCACTCTACCATACTGACAGCCCACAAGAGCTATTTTTCTATGTATTTCTAGAAAGTACACAGATTGATCCAATAAAATTCAATCAACACACCTCTGCCTTGTTTCAGCTCTATTTCCTCCCCAAATACACTCAAGTATTACCTGGCATTCTATTTATAGGTATCCATAACCAAGAGCCTAGTTCCACAAATAGATTATGCAGCCAATATCAGTCTTAAATGTTATAAATCCTTGTGAGTAACATCTTAAATTCTATGTACATAAAAAGCACAGTTTCAAACAAGACAAAGATAGAGCTCATCTCTACTATAGCTGATGAAGTAAATAGGCCTGAACTGGTAACAATACTGCAAATGATTTTCAATTCTAAACACAAATCTGGACCTAAAATTAGGGTTATGATGTAGAGGAGCTAGATGGATTCCAAAATAAATCTCTCAAAGGATCAGAATAACTGAAATTCATAAGCAAAATCAACAAAAGGGAAATTACTTTTCAAGTTGTGATTAAATTCTCCAGTCTCAAGAGAATTAAGATGAAGAGCCTGCCTTATTTTGGCATAACCAAAGTAGATGAGGTATTTAGCACCTCTGTAGAAGCAGATGGATGGCTCACAACACATTCACTTCATTCACTTTGAAACAGAACTTCTACATTTCCTTCAAAACCATAGTTAATTGTTTAAAAGGATGTAGACGACTAGAATGGCTTTGCTTAGCAAGGTTTGTGATCCACAAACTTCCAATTTTAAGTAATTACTTTAAAAAGACCAGACACTTAAGGAATTTTACACTCTTTCCTTTTCCTTCATGCAAATTTTAATCTTGTAATGCCAAATAGATCTTTCACACTCACACAAACACATTATAATGAGCCTCACTTGCACTGACATGCTTGAGGAAATCTCCAGATCATTTTATCAAAACCATAGGTAATGAGATTTGAGGCTTTGTTGGCACTCTTTATCATTTCTTAACAAATCAAACCAAACTGCTTTCAGTCAGATATGAACATTTTCCAGTGAGAAGATGGTCCCAGGAAAGCAAATGTAAAATGTTCAAAGCTGATGTCTCAAGTGCCCATCCCCAAACTCAAATCTAGGGAGAGAATCTATGCCTTACATAAGCTCAATTTAATGTTCCAAATGATTTCCAGACTTGAAAACTACATCTAGCTTGAAGCTTGAGCAAAACAATAAGCCAGTATACAATGCACTAGAGGCTATGAGACCTGTACATCAGAGTCAAGAGTTGTTTGTATTTCTCTATTTCAAAGCCTCCTATTGGTCAACAGAACATAAATTATTAATAAGGTCTGTTTGATTCTTACCTGTAGAATACTTTCCTTCCTTCACATTGAAAGGCTGGACCCTGAGATTAAAGGTATTTATCTGAAATTTTCCAGACACTGACACAATCTGCTCTTTGTTGCACATATAAGAACTTCCCAACGGGGCATCCCAGTAGCTAAGGTTGTTATTTCCAAAGCTGAAAACTTCACAGAAAAAAAAAGGTTAGTAACATTTTAGCCTCTGAAAATAAAAAAAAAAATGAGACAGTCTTCAGAGGGTTTTTTAAAGTGAATTATGGGAACTTGGAAAGGGTCTATCTACAAAAAGAAATTCCCTAATAATTTTTTTGAGACAGGGACTTACTACATATCCTAGGGTTACTTGGAAATCTCTATAGAACCTGGGCTGGCTTTGAATGCAGGATCTTCCTGTCTCAGCCTCTCAAGTTTTGAAACTACAGATATGCACCACCATACTCAATTTGCCCTTATCTTTCCATAGCTATTTCTAATCTAAAAATCCACCATTAACTATTGCCCACTATACTTTGAAAAGATGGGTTATTCCAAAGATAGAATACCACAGTTCTAAATCATAGGTTTTAAGCTGTGGTCACAGTATACTTTTTATGTAGCATCCTTTGTCCCTGTGTTTCAGACTTACATTTTGGTCATTAAATAAGGGCACTATCTGGTAATGGAACAATTATAGGTCTTATAACTTTAGTGTAACCTCTGTGTACCACACACAGGACAGTGCTTTGCTTACCAGTGCTATTAGTCAAATATATGCTGGCATTCACTTCCTTCAGATAGAATCGGTTTCCGTTTTTCTGTATGTAAGAAAGATTTCCCAGTTAACAACATATCACAAATGTCTAAAAATATATTTTACTATCTACAGAAGAAAAGCAATCTAGTACTAATGCACAGAAGAGGAACTGGGGATTAGGCTTGAGCCAATCAAATAAATTGCTGGTAAACATTTTTTTTGGTCGGTTGTGGGGCATGAACTCTGGGTCTGAGTGCTGTCCCTCAGCTCTTCAGCTCAAGGTGAGCGCTCTACCACAGTGCCACTTCAGTTTTCTGGTGGTTCACTGGAGGTAAGTGTCTCACAGACTTTGCTGCCTGGGCTGGCTTTGAACTGTGATCCTCACTCAGATCTAGGCCTCCTGAGTAGCTAGGATTACAGGCATGAGCCACTGGTGCTCAGCTGCTAGTAAAGTTTGTCATAGTTTTGGCAGTACTGGGATCTGAACTCAGGTCTCAACACTTGCTAGGCAGGTACTCTACCACTTGAGCTATGCTTTCATCCCTTCTTTTTGCTGGTTACTTTTGGTATAGGGTTTTGCTTTCTACATATCTATGTGCCTAAACCATCTACTTTGGGCTTGTCTTCATTGTTTTAATGACAGACATGTGCCACCTCATCCAACTTCACTCCTTCTGTGGAGATGGAGTTTCCTAGATTATTCTGTCCAACCTAATCTTATACTTCAGTCCTCTCAATCTCACCCTCCCACAAAGAATGGGATAACAGGTATGTATGTCACTGTACCTGGCTATGAGTTGAAAAGGGGCTGGCCCCCAACTGCAATCCTCCCAATCTCATCCTCCAAAGTGGCTAGTATTATAGAGGCAAGCCACTAGCACCCAACTTTTGTCACAATTTAAGTGACATTTTCCTCTGCATTTTGATTCTGAATTGTTGACTTGCAGAAGTAGTCATGTTATCCCTGGACACTGGTGATTTAACTCTCTAGTTTATTCCTTCTGTCCCATGCTGAGTTCATAATACCTCTAGCCAAGATCATATTATCTTCTTCACCAGGTTCCCAGACTTTGTCTTCTAGCTCTATCCTTTCATATTCAGTGCTATTATCTCTTTTGTTTGTTTTATTGTTTTAGTGAAACCTGCTGTTCCTCTCCTACTTTGCAAGATGCACACAGAAATCAGGGTGAACGATGTATAGAGTTTGGAAAGAGAGAGAAAGGCAAGAGCAGCTGCAGCTGTGGGCTGGCGATCATGCAGCTTGAACTACCCTGCCATGGAGTTTAGATGGGGCCTTGTTGGCAAAAGAGAGCCACTGACGATTGTGAGGAAAACTACCTTGGGGAAAATCTAAATGTAGCCAGGTGCCAGTGGCTCATGCCTGTAATCTTAGCTACTCAGGAGGCTGAGATCTGAGGATCACGGTTCAAAGCCAGCCCGGGCAGGGAAGTCCATGAGATTCTTATCTCCAATTCAACAGAAAACCAGAAGTGGCACTGTGACTCAAGTGGTAGAGCTCTCGCTTTGAGCTGAAGAGCTGAGGGACAGCTTCCAGGCCCAGAGTTCAAGCCCCACAACCAAGAAAAAAAAAACCTAAATGAGGGAGATAAAAATTGAGATTATGTGGGAAGCTGTTTAAATGGTCCAGGCAAGAGGTAAGCCAGCTGGAACCAAACCAAAGCAAAAAGGAATAAAAATGAGGACACACTGGAAAGAAAGTTCTGGAACAAGCATAAAGGAGGACTTGATGACCTCATCACATTATTTCTCTGCAAAGGCAATGTCTCAGCTAGGCAGGCATTCAAGGTTCTCTATCATTTATCCCAATGACATTCCCATGCTTTCTCTAAACATGGCCACATGCATCATTTTGCTAGTTGGTCTTATGTTCTTGTATCCAAGGATGACCTCTACATTTTCCCTTACTCCACACTGATCTGCCTATATACAAATCTAACCTGTCCTTGAAGGCTCAAATGGTCTTTTCCTTTTAAAATTCCTGACTCTCTTCCAGCTAGAATTAACCTCTCCTTTTTTATAGGTCATGGGGCTTGAACTCTGGGCCTGGGCACTGTCCCTCAGCAATTCAGCTCAAGGCTAGTACTCCACCACTTGAGCCACAGTGCCTCTTCCGGTTTTCTGGTGGTTAACTGGAGATAAGAGCCCCACAGACTTTGCTGCCTGGGCTGGTTTTGAACCGTGATCCTCAGATCTCAGCCTCCGTAGCTAGAATTACAGGCGTGAGCCACCAGTGCCTGGCACCTCTCCTTTTTTTTAATGCTGGTGTTTTATGTCAAGATTTTGTGCTTGCTAGGCTGGTGCTCTACTACTTGAGCCACAACTCCAGCCCAACCTATTCCTTTATTCTCTCACAACACTTGTGTGAATATCTGGTCATCCCATTCTGTATGTACCTTTCACAAATCAAGATACAAGTTCAACACCTGACCTGGTATTCATGCCTTCCACAAAAATGGCAAGTATTTGTGTATTTCTAAACTGTGGGATTCTTAAAAATGCAGCTTTTCTAATTCATGTTTTATGTCCTTAAATTTTTAGTTATTGGATGATGAGACTGAATTCTGACAAGGGTTACACTGCACATCTTGCCTAAATGTCATGATGGTCAGCAATAATAAAACTATCTAAAGATCTTGTTTTGTTATACTTGTTATCTGTGCAATGTTTCAAACTAGCTTTTTCAATTTATTATTTGAATTTCATTGGCAGTGAATCACTGTTATAGTTGTTAAGGTTAACATTTTAGTGATTCTTTTTTTTTCAACATGTATGAGACCAAGTGTCCCTGGCTGCTACAGAGGTATAGCAGACAGGTATAGTTAAGAAACAACCTTAATTTAAGCAGGGGGAACGACAACACAGCACTTAGCAGTTATATTGTAGTCTAAATCCTGCTGCATTTTAGTGATTTTTTTGGGGGGGGTCCAGTCGTGGGGCCTGAACTCTGGGCCTGGGTGCTGTCCCTCAGCTCTTCAGCTCAAGGCTAGTACTCTACCACTTGAGCCACAGCGCCACTTCTGGCTTTTTTTCTTTCTGCTTATGTGGTGCTGAGGAATCGAACCCAGGGCCTTAAGCATGCAAGGCGAGCGCTTTACCACTGAGCCACCTTCCCAGCCCCAATTTTAGTGATTCTTAAGCAAGTCAGTCAGACTTTGAAAAACAGAATGTATATATTTTATGCTTTGTAGATCTCAAAAGGATTTCCCTCATAACAAGTATGGGCATGTATTATCATCGTCTTCTGTCAAATCATCTGTGCTACAGAAAAAAAAATAACCATTGTTTGAAAAAGAAAGGGCTAGATCCTGGTGCTGGTGGCTTATTCCTTTAATCCTAGCTACTCAGGAGACTGAGGATCACAATTCAAAGCCAGCATGGGAAGGAAAGTCTGTGTGATTCTTATCTCCAATTACCAGCAAAATGCCAGAACTGGAGGTATAGCTCAAGTGGTAGAGAACCATCCTTAAATAAAAAAGCTAAGCAAGATTGAAACCCTGAGTTGAAGCCCCAGTACTGACAGAAAAAAAAAATCATAAACTTGTCTTTTCTGGATGGTTAAGAATGATCTGCCACTATAATATACTGTACATTTAGAAATGAAATTTAGTGTCTTAAGTATAGGGTGGTAAGTTTAACCAAAAACAACGGCAATTACAACTGTTTCCTACAAAGTTCTTAAAAGTGCTACATATGCCAATACAAACACCTTTGAGTGTAAGAATACAGAGATTTCTACATAACTGATTATTTAAAATGGTTAAAGATGCCACTGTGGCAAATTGTACTGACATTTTTCATAATAAATAAAATGAGCTCCTATTTTTATAGTAAATGTCATTTTAACTGGGTGCTGGTGGCTCATATCTGTAATTCTACCTACTCAAGATGCTAAGACCTGAGGATCATGATTCAAAGATACCCTGGGCAGGAAAGTCTATGGATTCTTATCTCCAATTAAGCACCAAAACAAGCTAGACATGGAGTTGTGGCTCAAGTGGTAGAGCACTAGCCTTGAGCAAAAAAGCTCAGGGTCAGTTCCCAGGCCCTGAAATCAGGCCTCATGACAGTCTCCCCCGCCAAAAAAAAAATCCTTGGAAAATAAAAGTTGCATACTTCTTTTTTTGGAAAAAAAAGATTGCAGGCTTCCTTTGTATCCCACTATTGCAGCCTACACATGACACAATCAGTATTAGTTGCTTTCTTTGCTGATACACAAGAATTTTCTAAAATTTCCTAAGGAATCTTTACCAAGAAAGGGGCAAAGCTAATGTAGGCATCCTGAGCTCTGGTAATACTTCAGGTATTTCACTTTTCTTTTGCCCTTCTTTGTCTGGTATTTTTGTGATCTAAGGTTACTTAAATCTGTGGAATCAGGACCTACAGAAACAACATGTAGTACATCTACTATATAAACAATACATAAGCTGAGCAACAGTGGCTCACACCTGTAATCACAGCTACTCAGAAGGCTGAGATCTGAGGAGGGAGGTTTGAAGCCAGTTGGGGCAGGAAAGTCTGTGACACTCTTATCTCCAATTAACCACTAGAAAACCAGAAGTAGTGCTGTGGCCCAAGGGGTAGAGTGATAGCCTTGGGCAAAAAAACCTCAAGGACAAGCCAGGCACCGGTGGCTCACACGTGTAATCCTAGCTACTCAGGAGGCTGAGATCTGAAGATCGTGGTTCAAAGCCATCCTGGGCAGGAAAGTCTGTGAGACTCTTGATTTTTTGTTTTGTTTTGTTTTTGTCTTTTTGTCAGTTGTGGGACTTGACCAGTGTGCCTGGCGCTATCCCTAAGCTCTTCAGCTCAAGGCGAGCCCTCTACTACTTGAGCCACAGCACCACTTCCAGTTTTCTGGTGGCTAATTGGAGGTAAGAGTCTCACAGACTTTCCTTGCCTGGGCTGGCTTTGAATCGTGATCCTCAGATCTCAGCCTCCTCAGTAGCTAGGATTACAGGAGTTAGCCACCTGTGCCCAACTACCGTGAGACTCTTATCTCTAATTAACCACCAGAAAACTGGAAGTGGCACTATGGCTCAAGTGGTAGAGCACTTGTTTTAAGCTGAAGAGCTCAGAGACAGCTCTCAGGCCCATGACTGACAAAATAAAACCCAAAAACTCAAGGACAGTGCCCAAGCCCTGCCCTGAGTTCAAGTCCCACAATTGACCAAAAAACCCTTATATATGTGTGTATGTGTGTGTGTGTGTGTGTGCATACTATGTATACTATACACATATAGTATAATATAAATTGTATACATAGTATATACTATACATGGTATATATGTATATGTAGCATACATAGAATATGCATAGTATACATAATGTATATATATATATATTATGTATAGTGTATACTATAATATACTATATAGATGTTAGCTATTATTATCAATATCACTATTACAAACCATAGTACCACCAAAAGGCTTAAAATATAATAGACAAAAATAAGAGTTGTTTAGCCAATACTAAAGAAAAGTATCATCACAGGATTTACTGATATATGGAGAAATTACACAAATAGTTTTGTGGGTTTTTTTGTTGTAAATTAATTCTTGCTCCTACCCTAGCATCCACATAATGGCAGAATGGAGATTCTTGGTGATTATTAATTCAAGATTCTAGCTTAGAGACCACCAAGTGGACTCTGAAGGATAACTAGGGATCATGGGACTGTACTTTATAATTCAGTTGTGTTGAAATAAAAATAATATGCCCCATAAATATACATCACCATTTAGACTTTCCAATACGATTCTCAGAGAATGAACCTAACTTTAGAAATAACTGTTACTCACCATGGCAAAGACAAAGTCAAGATTAATGTTGCTGTTGTTCAGTCTAAGCTGGGCTGTTTGGGGATGACAACTGCCAGTGAAGCTAGTTATATTGGGGTTGATGTTAATAATGACAGGAACCTGTGGGGGAAAAAAAGGGAGAGAAAGTAGAGATAAGCTATAAAAGGCAATACAAATCTAGCTACTCAGAAGGCTGAAATCTGAGGATCATAATTTGAAGACAGCTCAAGGAGGAAAGTCCCTGAGACACATCTCTAATTAACCACCAAAAAGCCAGAAGTAGAGCTGTGTCAAGTGGTAGAATGCTATCCTCCAGCAAAAACAAAAACAAAAAACCCTCAGGGACAGCACCCAAGCCTAAGTTCAAGCCTCAAGTCTGGCACCAAAACAAAAAGACAATAGAGCCAACCACTGGTGGTTCATGCCTAAAATCCTAGCTACTCAGGAGGCTGAGATCTGAGGATTGCAGTTTGAAGCCAGACCAAGAAGGACAGGCCATCACCAAAAAAAACTGGAAGTGGAACAGTGGTCAAGGGATAGAGCCCTAGCTTTGAGCAAAAAGCTCAGGGGCAGAACTCAGTCCCTGAGTTCAAGCCTCAGGACTGGCAAAAAAAAAATAAAAGCAATAGAAAGTATTATAATTAAAGGCCAATTCTGGGACAGAAAAAAAATCTTCTGTTTGTATACTTAAATCCATGATGTCTTACTTTCAAACAAACTTGGCAGAGGCCCTCAAGCTATGAGTCATACAACTTAAACAATGACAACAATAAGAGAGATGCTTCCACATTAATGAGCCAAATGAAAACACATATTTTTACAGAGCATAAGAGCCATCTGTCTAGTTTCAATCATAGGAGCTTGGAAATGGTATTTATTCATTGGCACTCCCTCTAGAGCCTCAGTGGAAAACTGCATCTGCATCTATAAGAGCCATGGATACTTGAGCCCGTCTCGGTGATGTGTGTCATCAACTATCATCAACTAACTAACTGGAGAAACAAATCGCTACACTGTTCTGCACACCAACCCACAGCGTTTACATATCCAACTGTGAAGGCGCTACTCTTGTTGGTTTTTCTTTTGGTAGGGCTGGAATGATGAAATTCACAACATTTAGAGGGAAATTTGAAAGGACATGAGGGGATAGATAGGGTTGAGATAGATGGGGAGGTTAGAGGGGAGAATGATGGAAGAGGAAATACACATCAACATGGACTGTATAAATAAATTGACATATGTAATTGAAACTGCTTTGTAAATCTATTTTAAAAAGAAAATTATTAAAAATTATTACTAAAAATAAAAATAGCTGGCACCAGTAATCCTAGCTACTCAGGAAGCTCAGATCTGAGGATCATGGTCCAAAGTCAGCCTGGGAAGGAAAGTTTTTGAGAATCTTACCTCCAATTAACCATCAAAAAGGTGGAAAGGGAGTTGTGGTTCAAGTGGTACACTGCTAGCCTTGAGCAAAAGAAGCTCAGGAACAGCCCCAGGACCAGCACATAAATAAATAAATTTAGAGCTGGGTGATGGTGGCTCACACTTGTTATCTTAGCTAATCAGGAGCCTGAGAGCTGAGGATTTAGATTTGAAGCTAGCTTGAGCAGGAAAGTTCGTGAGACTCATATTTCCAGTTCACCATCAAAAAGCCAGAAGTGAAGCTGTGATTCAAGTGGTAGAGTGCCAGCTTGAAAGAGTCAGAGTGTGAAGCCTCAAGTTCAAGCCTGAGCACCAGCCAGAAAAAGCCAGGGGCTGGTGGCTCCTGCATGTAATCCTAGCTATTATTCACAAGGCTAAGAACCAAAGATCATGATTTGAAGCCAGCCCTGGCAGGAACATTTATGAGACTTTATCTTCAATTAACCACCAGAAAACCAGAAGCAGGGCCGTGGCTCAAAGTGGTAGAGGGATAGCCTTGAGCAAAAAAAAAACAAAAACAAAAACAAAAAAACAAAACTCAGGGACAAAAGAAAACAAGAAAAAAAAAGAACCACAAAAGTATAATAAAAAAAAAAACTTTTGTGGGGCTGGGAAGGTGGCTCAGTGGTAGAGCGCTTGCCTTGCATGCCTGAGCACCACATAAGCAAAAAGAAAAAAGCCGGAAGTGGCGCTGTGGCTCCAGTGGTAGAGCACTAGCCTTGAGCTGAAGAGCTGAGGGACAGCACCCAGGCCCAGAGTTCAGGCCCCACGACCGGACCCAAAAAAAAAAACAAAAAAAACTTTTGTTTCCATTTCTTAGAATTTTTTCCATTTCTTAGAATTCATTTTATAAGATCATATGCACATAGCTATTAAGTCCTTGTGATCCTCTTCTAAGAATATCCTCCTTTGGGGGCTGGGAAGGTGGCTCAGTGGTAGAGTGCTTGCCTTGCAAGCATGAGGCCCTGGGTTCGATTCCTCAGCACCACATAAGCAAAAAGAAAAAAGCCGGAAGTGGCGCTTTGGCTCAAGTGGTAGAGCGCTAGCCTTGAGCTGAAGAGCTGAGGGACAGCGCCCAGGCCCAGAGTTCAGGCCCCACAACTGGACCCAAAAAAAAAAAAAAAAAAAGAATATCCTCCTTTGGTCTCACTGTATACATGTTTAGAGTTCTGTTTAATCATGTCCAAGTATAGTTTTTTTTGTATTTTAATATCCATTGGGTTTGCTTGTAGATTTATAGTCACATTCTAAGTTTGTCTGATTTGGAGGGAGGAGAATAGAGAAGGGGAACATAGAAACTGTGGGACAAAAGGTGAACTAATTTAGCAGTGATACTTACAGACACTATGTTGGAAAGGAACTATACAACTTACCAGGAAGGAGGTTCAGGAGGAAAAAAAACTGGGAGAAAATTAAATGTACACATTACCTGACTTAAGTAACTGTAACCCCTCTGCACATCACCTTTACAATGAAATTTAAATAATGTTAATAATAATACTCAGGGACAGCACCCAGGCGTTCAGTTCAAGTCCCACAACCAACAAAAACAAAACAACTTTTAAAACACTAAAATGTTAATATTTATTCATTTAAGAAAAAACAGATGACCAAACCTTCTCTTGAGTGATGTTCAGCTGCAGTCCCATGGTAGCCAGTAGACAAGTGCCATTACCATTAGTAACCGAATAGTTTCCCACCGCTGGGTTTTTCTTTGGAGTAGGTGTTGTAGTAGGAGATGGCACGGTGGTATGAATGATGGGTGTTATTGTTGTGGAAATTTTATCTTTATCACATATAAATTCTAAAACAACGAAGGACAAAATAAACTGAGGTGGTCTTTTTCTTAATTCATGAGGCCAGGGAAAAACAAAATGTTTCAAAATATTTCTCATAGTTAGAAGTCCCAGAGGGTTAATGAGGAGACAGGAATAGCTTGTTAGTACATCATCTTGTAATCTCTACATATCCTCACATAGCAGATAAACTTAAGACATATCCATGGGGTTGGGAGAGATGTGGGAGAATGATGGAAGGAGTTACACTGATCAAGATGCATTGTCCTCCTAACTGACCTGTTGAATTCAACAACTACTTAAAGATTTAAAAATTAAAAAACAAGGGGCTGGGAAGGTGGCTCAGTGGTAGAGTGCTTGCCTTGCATGCATGAGGCCCTGGGTTCAATTCCTCAGCACCACATAAGCAGAAAAAAAAAGCCAGAAGTAGCGCTATGGCTCAAGTGGTAGAGCGCTAGCCTTGAGCTGAAGAGCTGAGGGACAGCGGCCAGGCACAGAGTTCAGGCCCATTACTAGACCCCCCACCAAAAAAAAAAATTTAAAAAGACATTCAAATTTTATAGCTACACATACAGGGCTGCACTCATCTTTTTCAGACCTGTAAATGCCTTTATTAACAAAGATCCCATCTGCCTCTGATTTAGAATCCAGAAGTAATCTGAAAATATTTAATCCCTACTCCTAGTGTGCCTTTTTCCTTCCCATATGTAACTACTATAAAATACTGTTTACTAGAAAATAAGTTTAGAAACCATTACAGTCAAGGTGCATCTTGCCTGTAATCCTATCTATTCAGGAGGTGGAGATTGGGAGGATCTCAGTTCAAGACCATTGTCAGCAAGCAGTTTATGAGACCCTCAACCAATAAAAAGTTGGGTACCTATCATCCCAGCTATGCAGGAAGCTTAAATATAGGAGGTAAAGGTTGAAGCCAGCTTAGGAAAAAATTGAGACCCTCTGTGAAAAGTCATACAAGCAAAAAGAGTTGCAGGTGTGACTCCAGAAGTAAAGCTCCTGACAAGCAAGTACCAAACCCTGAGTTCACATCCCAGTACCACCAGAAAAGAATCATTAAAGGATTTTCAATACAAATGAATCTTTTATTCATATTATTTCTACAACAATTCACAGGCATTTCAGCCTCTTAGGAAGTATTAGTTTTTCAGAATTGATGAATGAGAAATTGTTACATTTCTATAAACACATAAAATCAATTTAGAAAAAAGGCAAGATTAGAACATAGAAATCTAATTTCTAAGCTAAGGTCTTGGAACTGCTAAACGTCTATGACCAAGTGATTTGAGGATCTGTTCAAACATTATGCTTTCTCTCAGCGGAAAAGTTCATAGGTAGACTCTTAAAAGACTATTCTAGCTGATTATAGGTGATTTAATCCTAGCTACTCAAGAGGCTGAGAACTGGGGATTGCAATTTGAAGCGAGCATGGACAGGAAAGTCATGTGACTCTTAGCTCCAATTAACTACTCCCCCCACCCCCGCCCCCACAAAAAAAAAAAAGCCAGAAGTAAAGCTGTGGCTCAAGTGGTAGAGCCAAAAATTCAAGGACAGTGCCCAGGCCCAGAGTTCAAGCTCTAGGACTGGCACCCAAAAAAAGGACCATTCTACATGTATATCATAAACTTTAAACTACAACTTCCACCTGCAATTTTTAATAATAATTGTTATTAACACAAGCTTTAGTAGAAGCTACAAATAAGCCTTAATGAATGCTTTCAGTTAGAAAACATTGTGGGGGTAAGGATGGGATGGGTACTAGTAGGAGGGGATTGGGCTAACATAACAAGTAGGAAGTAAGAGGTTGTGGGATACAAGTGAAATAGATTGTTTGCAACATGAAAATAGACAATGGATCCTGTTGTAATTTTTTACCAAGAGGGACAAGAAGGAAGGGAGAATGACAGAGAGGATGAGATTGATTAGAATTCATAGTAAACCCACGAGGAATATAACAATGAGACACCCCCCACACACAACTAATATAAGCTAGTAATATAAAATATACACTAGGGCTGGGAATGTGGCTCAGTGATAGAGTGCTTGCCTAGCATGCCTGAAGCCCCAGGTTTGCTTCCTCAGTACCACATAAACAGAAAAAAGCCTGAAGTGGCTCTGTGACTCAAGTGGTAGAGGGCTAGCATCAAGCAAAATAAGCTCAGAGACAGTGCCCAGGCCTTAAGTTCAAGACCCAGGACAGGCTAAATAAATTAAATAAATAAATAAAACATATACTAGCTGGCAGTGGTGGCTCAGGCCTGTAATCCTAGCTAATCACAAGGCTGAGCTCTGAGACCTGCAATTCAAAGCCAGCTCAGGCAGAAAAATCCATGAAGTTTTTAATCTTCAATTAAGCACCAAAAAAGCTGGAAGTGGAGATATGGTTTAAGTGGTAGAGTACTCACTTGAGCAAAAAAGCTCAGGGACAATGCCCAGGCCGAGTTCAAGCCCCAGGACTGGCACCAAAATAAAACCCTAAAATGCATACATATATATATATATATATATATATATGCATATATATATATATATATATGTATATATATATATATATATATATACATCAATTAAAAAAAAAACACTTTGGATAATGACTTTGATGAATACCATCTGGTATGCTCTACCCTTAAAGTAAGATTCAAGTATAGAAATACATACTTTATATACTTACCTTTTCTGCTCACTGTGCCATTTTCAACAAAAGGTTGTACAAGAACATCCCGATATTGCTGGTCAACATCGCCAACTGGTATAGTTAATAAGCTATTGCATCTAAAGATGTCACTCAATGGAATTTTCATTGTCACATTGTGATGAACAGTAACACTTCCTATAAAACAAGAACAACAATGGCTGTTTCCAAGAAAACAGGAAAAAGTAATAATAACATAAATGTTTTTGGTTAGGCAGTGTGGCTCACAGCTACTGTGATCCTAGCTACTTGGGAGGCTGGGAATAGAAGGACTGTGGTTTGAAGCTAGCCCAGGCAGGAAAGTTCTCGATATCATTTCACAGCCTATAGCTGGGTTCAGGGGACTATACCTGCTATTGTCCTAGCTGTGGGGGAAGGCTGTAATCAGGGTTGAAGTTTTAGGCCAGCCTAGACTGAAAACTCTGACTCTATCTCAATGAAAAGCTGGATGTGACACCCACATCATTCCAATTATGACAAAGTCTAATAGGGGAATCATAGTCCAGGCACACACTTAGACCAAGAAGGAAGACACTTTCTCAAAAATAACCAGGGCATGCCCAGGCCCTTAGTTCAAGCCCTATGACCAACCAAGAAAAAAATCAAACTAAAGTAACCAAGGCAAGGCTGCGAAGGTAGCTCAGGGGTAAAGTGCTTGCCTCCCATGCCATGAATCCCTGGGTTCGATTCCTCAGCACCATATAAACACAAAAAAGCCGGAAGTGCCACTGTGGCTCAAGTGACACAGTGCTAGCCTTGAGCTGAAGAGCTGAAGGACAGCACCCAAGCCCAGAGTTCAAGCCCCACAATTGACAAAAAAAAAAATACCCATGGCAAAATAGGGCTAGAAAGATATAGTTCCGTTGGAGGTATAGATCAGCAGTAGACCGCCTATCTAATGAGCATGAGGTCTGAATGCAAACCCCAGTACAATCATAAATATGTTTTAAAGACTTTTTGTCGGGGCTGGGAAGGTGGCTCAGTGGTAGAGCGCTTGCCTCGCATGCATGAGGCCCTGGGTTCGATTCCTCAGCACCACATAAGCAAAAAGAAAAAAGCCGGAAGTGGCTCTGTGGCTCAAGTGGTAGAACGCTAGCCTTGTGCTGAAGAGCTGAGGGACAGCGCCCAGGCCCAGAGTTCAGGCCCCATGACTGACCCCCCCCCCCAAAAGACTTTTTGTCCTCTCTGCCAGCCCCACTACAAGTACAAAGTGTCAGAACATACGACATGTCGAAAGGAATGATAAATTCACTATGTTTGAAACATAGGAAATAGGAAGAAGTAATGAAGGTTAAAAGGGAGAGACAAGATGCAGGGGTTCACATTGGAGCATCTTCTACCATCTAAGGGAGATATAGGCTTTGTTACCAATGGAGGACTGGCTTCAGTTTATTTGAAGGAAAACAGAAATCTAAATTAAGAAGGTCAAATTAGAAATACTTATCTGAGATAGAACTTACAGGACCTGAGTATAAGAAGGAATAAATGGGTAAATCACAGATTTCGTAGTAAATCGTTATGTTTGTGCTACTATCCAAAAGCAAATTATTTCTGTGAACTTACAGAACATCTTCTGGATGGGATTTAAAGACCCTTCCATTTCAGGGAATCCTTAGGTGAAAGAAGTTATACACATTCTTTGCGGTGTTTAGTAGAATTCTTGTAGAAAAACTTCAAAAGACTATGACTGACCTTATCTAAATGGTTTAATTTCTTTTGGAGAAGAAGCAAGAAAATCTTAAGTTGCTTAATACATACAGGCTATTTCTTTCTCTCCCATCATGTAACAAGGCAGCCACTTAATGATGCCTTGGCACCCCCTAATGGTCAAATTGTTTCATTAACTTTTTTTTCTTAAAACTATCAATATTAACAAAAAATGAATAGATACATGAACTGGTTTTATGGACAGACTTCAAAAACAGATGACTAACAAAACAAGTTGTAGCTGAGTGCTCACACTTGTAAGCCTAGCTACTCAAGAGGCTGAAGTCTGAGGATCTCAGTTCAAAAACAGCCTGAGCAGAAAAGTTCATGGGACTCTCTTCTCTAATTAATTAGCAAAAAGCTGGAAGTGGAGGTGTAGCTCCTGTGGTAGAATACCAGCCTCAGCTAAGTCAAAATAAGACTGAATGAAAGCCCCAGAACTGGAACACAGAAAAAAAGTTACAGACATACTAGAATTATACTATGAAAAGACATGTTTTGAATTTGTAGTGCTTGTGAATATGCACATACGTACTAAAATAGAAACATATGACCAGGAAGAGAAGAGGACAAAAAAAAAACCCTCAAACTATCTACAAGGGTGTATTTCTTTAAATCAATAAAATGATGAAGAAAATATTTTTAAATGACATTTATTAATTCTGGGTAATGGGTACTTTTGGGCCTTTTACACTATCCTTTACTGTGTTGTATTTCAAACTTAAGCACATGTTTTAAAAGAAAATACTGGCTTCAAAGTTACTTCACTCATCAAGTAAATTACTAGTTCAGAATAATGAATTATTTCAAAGAACAACAATTCTCAACACTGCCATTTAGGAAGCCTTTTCAATTTTCAAATCATTGCAAGTATTCTATTACTTAGAATCTAGTCATGGAAAAAGTAATCACCCTGTTGCTTAAAATAAAGGGGGATTGCCAGGCAGTGGTGATTCAGGCCTATAAGGAGGCTGAAATCTAAGGATCCAGGTTCAAAGAAAGCCCAGGGAGAAAAGTCCTTGTTAGACTCTTATCTCCAATTAACCACTAGAAAACTGGAAGTGGAGCTGTGCTCAAAGTGGTAGAGTGCTAGCCTTGAACAAAAGAGCTCAGAGACAGCATCCAAGCCCTGAGTTCAAGACCCACAACTGATCAAAAAAAAAAAGGTGGATGGGGATAATGCCAATTGCTAATGGCTTACACCTGTAATCCTAGCTATTCCGAGAGCTGATACTGAAGGATCAAAGTTCAAAGCTAGCCCAGTCAGGAAAGTCTGTGAGACTCTTATCTGCAATAAACTACCAAAAAAGCCGGAAGTAGAGGTGTGACTCAAGTAGTAGAGTACTAGCCTTGAGCAAAATACAAAAAGTTCAGGGACAGCATCTAGGCCCAGAGTTCAAGCACAAGGACCAGCAAAAATAAATTGATAAAATAAGAGGGCTAAGGAAAAGAGCTGTTAACATTTTAGTTTCTCTGTCCAATCATGTCAGACTAAATCCCCCTCCTTTATGGTAGTAGCCCATGTGGCCTAGGCATTGTGCCTTGATTATTGTCTTCAGAAATGCCTCTGAAGCTGGCACCTGGTCTTAGAGTCCACTCACTTTCAAGTTAATCCTGTTTTTGTTATACAATTCTCTCACTTAAAAAACTTCAAAATAGTTCCCTTTTACATACCCCATCAATCTAAATGCCTTTCCTTGGCTTCCAAGGTCCCTTATAATTTAGTCACACTGTATTTGGTCAACTTTCTTTTCCACTGCACACATAGAGCTGTACTTTTCATCAGGCAACTGTCCAATTACTGCTGCCCATACTCTGCTTCCCCCTAGTGGAAACATCCTACTCAAATTCCACCATTAGGGGAGTTTTAGCTCAGGTCCCACTTCTTGAGCAAGCTTTCTCACCCCTGTCACACACTGATTTCTCCTTTCTCTGGCTCATGATCAGGACCACTAGGGAGAACACTTTTAAAGCTGACAGAGACCCCCAGATGGGATCAGGGAATATGTCCCACACCCATTTTACATTGTCAGAAGAAACATACACTCATTAATCCCTCAAACCAAATGTGTAAACAGCAGGAAAAAAAATCAGACTGAACTCCATGTTTGCCGATTTCTCCACATAAGTTGTGGACACAATTTAGCTGTGTCTCAACTAGTTTTCTAAGCTTTTTCAAAGTGAAGAAAAAAACATCGCAATTCTCAAAGACAATGCAGGACACAAATATACATATCTAACCTACCCAGTAACAACTTTTGCTTGTTATTCACTCAAACTCAGAGATTAGTAAAAAAGAAAACTTTAAATTTCAGTCTGTGCTATCTCTCAAGTTTAATGTATACCTCATTTATTTCTGGGTCTTTAAATTATAATCTTTTCCTATCTGTAAGTCAAATGATTATTATTCCACAAGACTTGGTAAATAATGCTGAGAAGAGTTAAGTTACTACAAACAGGAAGTTGATCTAATGTCACTGGAGGGGGGAAAGGAGAGTATTATATCTTTAAGAAAAGTAAAATCTCAACCTGAGCAAACTGGGTGTGGCAGTCCACGCCTATAATCCCAGCACTTAGGAAGTTGTGGCAAGTAGACTGTGAGTTCAAGGCAAGCTTGACCTGTCTCAAAAACAAAACAAAAGGGACTGCGAAGGTGGCTCAGTGGTAGAGAGCTTGCCTTGCATACATGAGGCCCTGGGTTCGATTCCTCAGCACCACAGAAGCAAAAAAAGGAAAAAGCCAGAAGTGGCGCTGTGGCTCAAGTGGTAGAGTGCCAGAAGTGGCGCTGTGGCTCAAGTGGTAGAGTGCTAGCCTTGAGCTAAAGAGCTGAGGGACAGTGCCGAGGCCCAGAGTTCAGGCCCCACGACCGGACCCCAAAAAAATGTAAATATCCATTATCTGTACTTTCAAATCATTTATTACATATTTCATTTCTGGGAATGACAATGATCTAATTGCCTGTGCTTTCTCAAGTTCATTTTGACCTAAAATTGTCTCAAAACAGCAGCAAATGTTGACTTTAGTCATTTAAACGTTAATCATTATTTACTTTTCAGTTAAAACATGATCTGAATGGTAAAAAAAGATCTAAAGAAAAATCATTTCTTTTAGTCTCATTTACTGAACTTGTACACAGTGATTAGGAAAGGATTTTTTCCCTCATTCAACATCTGTCCATTGCCTACTATTGAATAAGATAATTAGTATCAGTTACCTTTGGGGAAGGTCACTAAAGCCCTTTAACCATTTAAATGAGGTATCTTCTTCCCACGGTGACTGCCGTTAACTTACTTACTTCAAGTACAGAGTAAAGTGCCCCCCAAATGGCAGCCAACACCATTACTAAATCTGACATGTGATCAGGGACAGGGAGGGATACAAAGACTTGGTTTTCTATTCTAGTTAGGAAGACAAATGTACATAATGATGACTTTTTAAGTGTTTTACATTTTTATTATTAGTAAAAAGCCAAGAATATAATATCAATCCAATTCTTAAGGTTACCTTTTTTTGCAGCATCAGGAAATGTTGTAGTATCACTCATGTTGTAGGTAAATGAGATACCATCAATTAAATAATTAGATGCCTCCATGATAAAATTCACAATCCAAGAGAAACCGGATCCAAATTGTACTGCAATTTTGGAACGATTCTGGTTATCCCTACAACTGCTTCCATTATATGTTGCATTGGAAAAGTCTGAAATGGTTACAGTTTTCTAAAAGCAAAGAGAAGTTTGGGGTGAGGAACAAACATGTAGCAGTGTTAACTCTGGGAGACTAGCCCCCTCAGCGTAAAGCATACTTTGCCACAGCCCTTTGTCTGGGGGGCTTAGATTCTTCAGCCACATACCAATCTTAAGAACTGAGAAAAGGCAAAACTTGCCTGAACTACTATTTTTCAACTGGTTGGGTTTGTTTGTTTTGTAAAGCTAGGGTTGACTTATCACTGAATACATTACCAGTTTATCAGCTGTTTTTTCCTTATAAGTTTGACTGTGTGTGTAGGGCACCAGTGGTGACTCATGCCTATAATCATAGCTACTCAGCAGGCTGAGGTCTGAGGAATGTGGTTCCAAGCTGTCCCAAGAAGGAAAGTCCTTGATTCTTATCTCCAACAAAAGTAGAAAAGGAGCTAGCCTTGAGCAAAAAAGCTCAGGGACAGCACCCAGGCTCTGAGTTCAAGCCCCAGTACTACCCCACCCTCCCAAAAATAGGTTGTTAGTAGATAGGACCTTAACAAAAAGAAAATAAAGCAACAAGACCAAGGAGACCACTCTAAAGAGGGGAGGATCTAATAATAAACCTGTTTTATTTTTTAATTTTTTTCCTGTAAAGATACTATACAGAGGAGTTACAGTTACATGAGTAAGGTAATGAGTACTTTTCCTATCGAGCATTGTTACCCACTCCTTTGTTTTTCCCCTATTAGTCTTTCCCTCCCCACCTTCCCAACTCTTCCTCCCCTCCCTGCTGAAGTTGAAAAGTTCCTTTTCTCAATAGTGTCTTGTGCATCTCATTGTTACAATGTGTCAAACTGTATCCTTGTGTCAGATTTTGTTATTTCCCTTCCCCTCCCCAAATTAGAAAAATATATATAAAAAATGCAGGGCACCAACATCAAATACAGTGAAAACAGGGGTTATACCATGGGGGAAGAACATACAAAAGAAACAAAAATCATATACTACATTAAAAACAACAGCGACAAAGAAAAAAACCTCTGTGTCCCTATCTTGGGTAGTAAACTTTTTTTTAAAGGACAAGTTTTAATGCTAGTACATTTTAAACACCATGCAGCCTTCAGATCACATGTCCTTAAACATCTCCAAGAAAAACTCTGAAGAACCAAGGAGTTAGAAATATTCATTGTAAAGAAACAATAACTACAAGAATATATTTCCAAAACCACAGAATTTAAGTGTTAACATCAGTTAATGTGAAATCTGATTTGTATAAACACCTAAATAATAAGTCAGAATTAAAATCAAAGAAAAATAAATATACTTACAGAAGTGTTGGTTGTAGTTTTATAATGTATTGTGAAATTCATCTGCCATTTTGCAGAAAGACAAATGGCTTTTTCTGTATTGTTCAAAGTAAGTTCCAATGCATAGGACTGGACAGCTCCTAGATTTAAAAAATAACACTTTGAAATTGTACTACAATAACATATATAAGCTGGTCACTGGTGGCTCATGCCTGCAATTCCTAGCTACTCAGGAGGCCGAGGTCTGAGGATTATGCTTCAAAGCCAGCCAGGGCAGGAAAGTCTGTGAGAGTCTTATCTCCAATTAACCACCAGAAAACCAGAAGTGGCACTGTGGTTCAATCAATGGTAGAGCTCAGGGGCACCCAGGCCAGGCCCCACAACTGACAAAACAAACGAACAAAAACATATATAAATAATAAATTCTATCCAGTCCTGAAAATTCAACAAGCTCTAAGATGAAGTTAAGTACTTTTTAATATATATGGTTTTCTGCTGATTCTCTTTTCTTTTAAAAATATTTAACAGTACTGAAGATTAAACTCAGGGCCTCCCTCTAATTGGGTAAGCATTGTACCGCTTGAATTCTACCTCCATTCCCCACCTTTTATTGAGACTCAGTCTCACTATATACATCAATTTACGATCCTGTTGCCTCTGCCATTCAAGAACTGGGATCACAGGTATGCATCACCATACAGCCTTCAGATGTTCCTTTCTAACAGAATCTTCCTGGCAAGGTAGCATTTTTCTCTTCTGAATAGAGTGGTTACTCTATTGAGATGCTTTGGTAACACCACAATTGGTAACATTCGCCTTCTGCTTCCTAATAATCATATCCATGTTCATTTGTGCCTTGTTTCAGGCAATTGTAGTATGCCTTTCTTTCTGCAGTGCTGGGGATCAAACCCAAAAGCCTCCCTACATACTACTGAACTACTCTACCACCAAGTTACTCTGCCTTTTGGGGTTTTTGAAGTAAATAAGGCAGGAGGAATCATTCAGGGGGCTTTATTTTTATTTTTATTTTTTTGTTGGTCCTGGGGCTTGAACTCTGGGCCTGAGCACTGTCCCTCAGCTCTTCAGCTCAAGGCTAGTGCTCTACCATTTGAGCTACAGTGCCACTTCCGGTTTTCTGCTGGTTTATTGGAGATAAGAGTTACATGGACTTTCCTGCCCGAGCTGGCTTTGAACTGTGATCCTCAGATCTCAGCCTCCTCAGTAGGTAGTATTACAGGCATGAGCCACTGGCGCCCAGCTATCAGGGGGTTTTAAAAACTCTTGCTTCTCCTCAGGCACAGGTGGCTCATGCCTATAATCCTAGCTACTCAGGAGGCTGAAATCTGAGGATTGTGGTTGAAACCCAGTCTGGTCAGGAAAGGCCATGAGTCTGGAAGTGGAGCTGTGGCTAAACTCATAGAGGGCTAGCCTTGAGCAAAAATAAGCTCAGGTTTTTCCACTTCCTAACAAATGGGGCAATGTCATTCTTTCTGATGGAGGCATAGAATTCCATTGTGTAGATATACTACATTTTCTTGATCCATTCATCTACTGAGGGGCATCTGGGTTGGTTCCATATCTTAGCTATGGTAAATAATGCTGCAATAAACATAGTTGTGCTAAGTGAAGTAAGCCAGGCCCAAAGAAACGTAGGTCCCATGGTTTCCTTTATTTGTAATATCTAGTATATGTATGAGTCAAGCGGAAAAGGTCAGATAATGTGATGTCAGGAAAATGAACCCTTAGATGTGTATTTTAATATTTTTTTCTTTCATGCGTGTGTTTCTAACACATTTATAAGATTATCTCTTTGTTGCTTTGTATGTCCCTCCCCCACAGTATAACCCCTGCTTTCACTATATTTGATGTCAGTATAACTTGTGGAGGAGATGGGGAAAATCCAGTTGTTTAAGGATACAGGTGGACCTGTTGCAACAATGAGAAGTACAAGTTGTCATGTCCAAAACAAGCTTTACAACGTTGGTGCGGGGTGGGGGGGGAAGGGGGGGAAGGAGAAGGATTGGGATTGGGGGGGAGGGGGGAGGCTGGGAAGGGATGTGAAGGGTAAACAAAGGAGGAGGCTGCAATGCTTGGTAAGAAATGTACGCATTATCCTGCCCATGTAACTGTAACTCCTCTGTATAGTATGTTCACAAATAAAATTAAATTAAAAAAAAAAAAAAGCTCAGGGACAGTGCCTAGGCCCTAAGTTCAAGCCCCAGAGCCAACACACACACACACACACACACACACACACACACACACACACACACACACACACACACACACACACACACACACTCTTCCTGTTTCTCTTAAATAATAATGATAGGCTGTCCTATGGTCTAGATGCTTTAAATCCTATTCCTAAAACACCTGGTGTATTCCCAAATTCTTACTAATATTATCAGGTATACAATAACACTTGTCAACAATAACAATAAGAAGTAATATTGAAAAGAGCTACTAGATTCACAATAAAAAGTTTCATCTTTTTTTTTTTTTTGGGTCCAGTCGTTGGGCCTGAACTCTGGGCCTGGGTGCTGACCCTCAGCTCTTCAGCTCAAGGCTAGCACTCTACCACTTTAGCCACAGCGCCACTTCTGGCTTTTTTTCTTTTTGTTTATGTGGTGCTGAGGAATGGAACCCAGGGCCTCATGCATGCAAGGCAAGCGCTCTACCACTGAGCCACCTTCCCAGCCCCATGAACTTTGCATTTTTAAAGATGAAACTTTGGGGCCAAAAAAAGCAAAGTTCACTACTGTTTCACTTTAAAATCAACTTGACTGGAAAGGCTGATGATTTTTTCGTGTGTACTCAAAATTACTTCCTAAATTCTTTTTTTTTTTGGGGGGGGGGTCCGGTCGTGGGGCCTGAACTCTGGGCCTGGGCACTGTCCCTCAGCTCTTCAGCTCAAGGCTAGCGTTCTACCACTTGAGCCACAGCGCCACTTCTGGCTTTTTTCTTTTTGCTTATGTGGTGCTGAGGAATTGAACCCAGAGCCTCAGGCATGCAAGACAAGTGCTCTACCACTGAGCCACCTTCCCAGCCCCTACTTTCTAAATTCTTAACCTACTACCTCTTTAGGCAGAGACCTTAAAGACCCAAGAAAGCGTTGGGATTTTGTATCTAACTTGACTCTGATCCTTTCACTTCTACATTACAGGAACATTACCTATGAAATTGAAGTGCCCAAGGCCTCTTACTCTAATGCATAGTAGAAAATATGCCAACAAATATGCCTGCAGCATAAACAATGGACAATCATCTAAAAGGTTTCTTCACACAGTACCCAAGAGGTAAGCTGTTTCCTGTTAAGATAGCTACATAGCCTTAAACGATATCTGAACAATTCACCGTCATCTACAGGCAGGGGCATGCTATAGACTGCAGAGAACGAAGTCCTAAGAGGAACAGCAAGCGGGCGTACCTCAGCAACAACTTTCAAGCTGTACACAGCTGTCATGCTCCAGAGACCTGGCTGTTTTAGCAAGCCTAGACAGTATGCTAATGCTTGTGGTTACTTAAGTACTCACAAAGGCTCAAAAGGACCGTGTGATGTAGGTTTTACTACCATTCTTTCCTAAGTACAATATGGGCTGGAGCTGTCAAGCAAATCCAAGGCCACCCTAAAGTTGTACTGAGAATTAGAACTTGCAATTTTTCTAATTAACTTGAGTTTGACTTTTCAGATACTTGCGTTTTGAGACTGGCTTAAAGCACCAGCTTCTGAGCCACCTTCAGAAGAGTGTCTGGGTTAAATCTCACTTGGTCATAATGAATGTTCATTATTGTTGTTTTTGGTGCCAGTCCACAGGGGCTTGAACTCAGAGCCTGGCACTGTCCTTGAGCTTATTTACTCAAGGCCAGAGCCACAACTCAGGTTCTTTTTGATACTTTACTGGATTTGATTTTCCAAGTATTTTACAGTACTGAGAATCTGGCTTGTATGTTCATTAGAGAGATGGGTATACAGCTTTCTTATTTTGTTGCCCATGAAATTTGTAAGTAGAATGGTGGTTACCAGAAGCTGATGACTAAAGGAGAAAAGAAGGATGGGGAAATGTTGATCAAAGGGTACTGAGCCACGGCTAGGGGCAAGCATCTCTGGTGTGCTACTGCACAATAGAGCAACTATAGACAATAATGTACTGTACATTTCAAAAAGCTAGAAAAAAAGCTTTCAAAGTTGTCACCATAAAGAAATGATCAATCGTTGAAACTGAATGAAACATTTAATCTGATTTTTAAACATTACATATATATCCCTGTATTGAAACATCATCACACAAACCCACTCTACAACGCTTAATTGTTATGGTCTCTGTATCACTTTTTAAAAAATAGCCAGGCACTAGTGACTCATGTCTGTAATTCCTAGCTACTCAGGTGGTTGAGGTCTGAAGATCTGAGGATCAAGGATTGAGGACTACCTCTTGAGAAATAATAGAGTCTCTTGGAGATATTGCCAAGGGCCTCTCATCTCCAATTAACCCACAAAACTCTGAAGGCAGAATTATGTCTCAAGTGTTAGAGTGCCAGTATGGAGTGAAAAAGCTAAACAAGAGCATGAGACTCTGAATTTAAGCTCCAGTACTGGCACAAATTTTTTTTTTAAATAAAGCCTTTAGCTTTAGGATATTCTCTTCCTTGTTTTGAAGACACTTAAAACAATTTTAAAAAAGAAAAGCCTTTCATGTATTAATCATTTTCTTTCCAAAGACATTAGAGTAGAAAGAAGGCCAATTCAAATAGTAACAGGATCAACATGTCCCTAGAAGTGCAAGTTTATGAAGCAGAAGGTACAGGTTGTACTGTACATTTATCACTTAAAACTAAATTCTAGATGGTCTATCTACCCTGTTGCCCATGACTATCACCTGAGAAATTCCCAGAGGCCCTGTCACACTGCTCACTTGCCTCCCAGCCTTTCTGCCTTGTGAGTGATTCATTATGATGATGATAAAGGTGATGTTTAGAGAGGTTATGGTTGCATAAGTCAGGTAATAAGTACATTTCTTTTTGGACAGTGTCACCCCTTCCCTCTCTCCCAGTTTTTCTCTCCTCTCCACACCTACAAGTTGTATAGTTCATTTTCAACATAGTGTCTAGTGAGTACCACTGCTGCATTTGTTCACCC